TCTGAAGCCTATTTTTAGACTTGCCAGAAGCCTATTCCGCGTGGTCCTCGAGCTTTCAAAGTGCACATCGATCTTAATTTTTTAGCAATTTCCTCCAGCAAAAGCAAGTTATAATTAACAGTCTCCTCAGTTTCATTGCCAAGAAATTCTGGCCACGGTCTTGCGTTTCCTCCTAAGTGCTGCCCTCCCCTCAAATAAATACATACTTCTGCACCTTGTTCGCACATTATTTTGTTTCCTTAACATCTCACAATTACTGCCTTTGAAGGGATGAATCCCCTAAAAAAGAGAGGGGAAGCCTTTTTTCTGTGAAGGGACAATTGGGGTCTGCAACCAATGGTGGTGGAGTCAGTCGCATTGTGGGATTGCTACCGCATCTCTCTCTTTGACACTCCATCTTGGGGGGTTACATGAAATTAGACACATAGGGGTGTAGCAGGGGGGCCATAGCCCTGGGCACACAATTTTGAGGGTGCCGTGAATGCAGGGAACCCCGCTGAGGGTCATTGGGCAGCAGAGCCAAGCCTGGCCTCACCGCCATGGCCCCAAGCCCTCTCACTGAAAGGCTGCCTTGCCAACAGGGGGTGGGGGGTGGGATTCGCCAACCAAGGGATGTGTCACCTGTCCAGGCTCCATGTGGTGAGCACTGGGCTGGTGAGGCAGTTCTGTTTACCCTCTTGGAGAGCCAGTGTGGTGTAGTGGTTAAGAGCGGTAGACTCGTAATCTGGTGAACCGGGTTCGCATCTCCGCTCCTCCACATGCAGCTGCTGGGTGACCTTGGGCTAGTCACACTTCTTTGAAGTCTCTCAGCCCCACTCACCTCACAGAGTGTTTGTTGTGGGGGAGGAAGGGAAAGGAGAATGTTAGCCGCTTTGAGACTCCTTAGGGTAGTGATAAAGCGGGATATCAAATCCAAACTTTTCTTCTTCTTCTTCTTCTTCTTCTTCTTCTTCTTCTTCTTCTTCTTCGAAAGAAGATAAAGTCCCTACCAGAGAAGAATGGCAGATTAAGTTGATGGATTATGCCGAAACGGCTAAAATGACTGGGAAAATCAGAAATCAGGAAGGCCAAAATTTTAATAAGGAATGGGGAAAATTTATTATTTATCTTAAAAACCATTGTAAACAGCAAAAATCGTTAGTAGGATTGGAATAACACTTGTACAGTGGAACCTCGGTTGTCGAACGCTTCGGAAGTCGAACGTTTCGGCTTTTGAATGCTGACAACCCGGAAGTGAAAGCTTCTGTTTTTGAACGTTCCTCGGAAGCTGAACAGCTTCCAAACTGCATTTCTCCATTTTTTCAGTGGATTTTGCCCACTGGCAATTGCACCTTGGTTGTCGAACGTTTTGGAGTTCAAATGGTCTTCCAGAACAGATTACATTTGACAACCGAGGTTCCGCTGTGGTTTAATGATGAATTTTGGAGATGTAAAAGATTTGGATTATCATAAAAGATGCAGGAGGAAATGACTAACAATAGGACCCACAAAGGGGAGGAGGGAAGTCCAGGAGATTCTTTGGAATCTTGTTTTAATCTTGTATGTTGGATATGTGATTGTAAAATTTTAATCTGAAAAAACAAATAAGTAATTTATTTATTTTTTAAGTTCTGCTTACCCTCTGCACCTTGTTCTTGCCCAGAGTGCACCCTCGGTCCCAGCAAATGCCACAACTCCGTTGCACATAGTTACAGGTTTCCCAAATCTGTTGTAATCGGAACGGGGTGGGAGTAGGTTATTTTTAAGCTCTTCCTTCGATTTTTAACTAATCTAGGATATTGTGTTGTTGGAAAATGGCAACCGATACGTTCAAGGGGATCGCACAACTCCTCTGTGGGAAAAGCTTAAAACATCTGGGGATTTTCAACTTAAAGAATTTAAAGGGCTTACCCACACATATTTTTTGCCACACTCTTTCCAGGCACAGGCCTGTGCTTAAAAGCTCCGTGTCCAAGCATTTATTTCTATATTTTGCCTTAGAGCTTTCCCCTCAAAACCCACTCTTTAGCACTCAACCGGAGCAAACGTCAATTTGGATTTTAAGCGGGTCGCCATTGGCTCTGATTGAGCTTTAAAGAGCGGGTTTCGTGGGGAAAGCTCAGGAGCAAAAAAAAAGGGTACTTGGACGGAGAGCTTTAAAATGTGTGAGCTGTACCTGTGGACGTCTTTTGAAGCTGATTGTTGAAGATTCAGGAAATAATAATAATAATAATTTATTATTTATACCCCGCCTATCTGGCTGGGTTTCCCCAGCCACTCTGGGGGGCTTCCAACAGAACACTAAAATACAATAACCTATTAAACATTAAAAGCTTCCCTAAACAGGGTTGCCTTCAGATGTCTTCTAAAAATTTGGTAGTTGTTTTTCTCTTTGACATCTGGTGGGAGGGCATTCCACAGGGCGGGTGCCACTACAAAGAAGGCCCTCTGCCTGGTTCCCTGTAACTTGGCTTCTCGCAGCAAGGGAACCGCCAGAAGGCCCTCAGCGCTGGCTGGACCTCAGTGTCCGGGCAGAACGATGGAGGTGGAGACGCTCCTTCAGGTATACCGGACCTGAACATATCAAAGGACATATCAAAGAAAGTAATTCTTCACACACTGCATAGCTGAACTTTGGAACTTGCTTCTATGGGAGGTAGTGATGATCACCAACATAGATGGTCCCAAAAGAGGATTAGACAAATTCATGGAGGATACAGCTATCAGGGGCTTCTAGCCATCATGACTATGCTCTCACTTCCCAGCCAGAGGTGGTAATGCTTCTGAATGCCAGTTACTAGGAAGCTGATCAGAAGGTTGGCGGTTTGAATCCCCGCAATGGGATGAGCTCCCGTTGCTCTGTTCCAGCTCCTGCCAAGCTAGCAGTTTGAAAGCACACCAGTACAAGTAGATAAATAGGTACCGCTGTGGTGGGAAGGTAAATAGGATTTCCGTGCACTCTAGCTTCCATCACCATGCCCCGTTGTGCCAGACAGCACTTTCCCTATGCTCAAAGCGGCCAAAATTATATTAGTAATGCTCATAAAAACCCAGCAATGTAGGCCACGATTAATACTTTGGGGAGCCCTGCCTTTGGAAACCCTTTGGAAGCTTCGACGGGTGTAGACTATGCCAAGCTAGCTGAAGCACATTGTGCTGGTTCTTGGTATCTGTGCCAATTCCCTGTGGTTTTACCTGGCACAATTCAAGAAAGTACTTATTGAAGGAATAGGAGAACAGCACAGAGTCCCATGAAGCACGGCCCACTAATGCAAGGGGGAAACATTGGTGTGACTCGTGTGTGCAGGCGCTGATGTGCACAGGCTCTGAGGTAGTGTGGCTTACTTGCCTAAGGCAGCAAAAGATTTGAACCCAAGACTTCCCAGCGCATGATCAACTCTTAACCACTATGCTATGGAAAATCTTTGTTTGATAGGTGCCATTAACATTGTTTCTAAGAGTTCCATAGCAGATAGTTCGAGGCAATATTTATGGTTGATCAATACCTCATAGCTTGGATATATTCATATATTTTCTACCTTGGTCAACTGCTTTTTCTTTTTTACCATTTGCTTCACTTTTGTCTGCTTTGGCACCGTAATTCCAGCTCTCTGAGCTATCCCTCTTTTGTTTGCTTCACATGCTTTCCTTTTGCCCTTTTGTTTTTCCTGGATGTTCCCGCCATGTTAGTGAATGTAACTTTTCCATTTATAGAAATCCTGTTAGTTGTTGAGTCTAGGAACCACTCACCATTCAACTATTGCCATAAAAGTAGTCTCTCTCCCTCTTTCTTTTTCAGTAAAACTCAGACAGTTGGGTGCGGGCAGGGAGCGATCCACTTGGCAAAATACATCAAATTGATTTTATGGGTAGATTTACCATTTAAGTCACACCAGGGATGATAACATCTGTCTGAGGAAGAAGCCAACTTGCTTACTAAGGGAGCTCAGAAACAAAATATTGTTGCTCTTAACTTTTTACTCCGAGTTGTGTAAGACAAACTGACATTAACAACAGTTTACTGTAACAGCAACAACTGCCACTAAGTTAGTGCGGTTCAAAATATACCGTATTTTTCACTCTATAAGACACTTTTTTCTTCCTAAAAAGTAAGGGGAAATGTCTGTGCGTCTTTATGGAGCAAATGTGTGGTCCCTGGAGCCAAATTGTCCAGGGGCAAAAAGCAGATCATGCTTTCTTTTTTTTTGAAAGAGGGAAGTGGGTGTTGAAACAAAGCCGCTGATCGTTTGCCGATCGGGGAGAGAGATAAGGGACGCTAGAGATAAAGGAGGCTGCCTGGGAGGGGGATGTAAAGACAGTAAACGTGCAAAGGGGGGAAACGGGAAGACTAAAGCAATAAGGAGAGAAATTAGAAGAAAAGGAGGAGCAAAAAACTGCTCCAGCTAAGGAAAAGACAATAAGGCAAACAAGAGGGAAGGGAGTGTTGAAAGGAAATAGCTGATTGGTGGGATCGGGATGCTAGCGGAGGCTGCCTGGGAGGGGGGAGGTAAAAGCCCATGGATCCTCAGGACTTTTACATTGGGTCACCCCAAATTCACCATCAGATCACATAGCATGTCCATGGCTACAGCCTGCACCAAAAATACCACGCACCAACTGTTGCCTGGGGCTACAATGGCGCAAAAACGTGGTTACAAAGCACGGATCCACATGGATCCTCAGGATTTTTGCATTGGGTCACCCCAAATTCACCATCAGATCACATGTCTGTGGCCATAGCATGAATCACAAAAATCATACATCCACTGTTTCATTCAGAATATTTTTTTTCTTGTTTTCCTCCTCTAAAAACTAGGTGCATCTTATGGTCAGGTTGTTTTATGGAGCGGAAAATATGGTACATCAAAAAGCACCAGCGCAAAAAAAAACAACAACAACAAAAACCATTGGGGACTCATAATATTTGCTTATTGTTCATTGTAGATCTGAAACCTTAGGCAGGTAGCAGAATATTCTTTCCCTAAAAAAAGGCCTTTTCTGTCTAGCTTTGCATGCCCTGCCTCTTACATCACAATGCGAGAGCTCTGGTCTCCATGAGGACGAGCAGAAAACAGAAAGGAGGCTGCAGAGCCCTTTAGGCTCACTTTGAAAACAGGACTTGCCGAGTTGTGGCTGAATTCACAGAGGTCTGCCGCCATAATCTGTAACCGCAGCCATGGAGGGAACTGCTAGTCATAACGTCCACCACCAGGTAAGAGATGACCATTGGTCAGAGCCTAAGGGATAGAGATGGAATTGTTTTATGACCTTTAACATAACACAGAGCTTGGGGAGAAACAGAAATGTAGGAGGGCTTCTTGGAACTGATGATGCAGACAAGTATTGGCATGTAAAGGACCTTCCATTTTTATTTTTGATAATAATTTAATATTAGTTTTCAATTACAATCCAATAAATGCTTCATTATAGCAATACCAATTTACAATACAATTACTTTGTTCAAATACTGAATTATATAATTTAGATAAAGTGGGCTAGAATTGATGGTTGATGATTTGCTTTGTTTCTGCGTTCCAAAATCTTATTCATTTCAATTACATTCCGGTCATCATAATAATTGTTATGTACTGAAGTTCTCACCCTGGGCCAGCAGGGGGATACTGTAGATAGTTATGCAAATGAAGGATCGAAAGTGATGTTCAGTGATTGGATAGTTTAGAAAACTGTTACAGTAACAAGGTACTGGAGATCTATATAAGCAGGCTGACTGAGCCCTTAAGCTCAGTTCAGTTCTGGCCTCAGAATAAAGAAGAGCTGTTTGAAGAATCGCTGTGTCGTCTGATATGTTCGCCCACAACTTAACAATAATGCCATTATACAACAACTGCAATACAGTGGTACCTCAGGTTACATATGCTTCAGGTTACATACGCTTCAAGTTAAAGACTCCGCTAACCCAGAAATAGTGCTTCAGGTTAAGAACTTTGCTTCAGGATGAGAACAGAAATCGTGCTCCGGTGGTGCGGCGGCAGCAGGAGGCCCCATTAGCTAAAGTGGTGCTTCAGGTTAAGAACAGTTTCAGGTTAAGAACGGACCTCCGGAATGAATTAAGTACTTAACCTGAGGTACCACTGTATTAATAACTTCTATTCGTGTTGACACATTGAATGATTTATAAAACTACAAGTGAGGTACTCAGACTGTAACCTTGTTCTTCCTGTGTGTGGCAATTATTCTGTCTGTGGTGTTTCTCCTGTCCTTGTAAACTATTATGTCTATCTTTCCCCCGGTTGTTGCTGCTATGCCTTGGGTGGAGCTGATATCCCACTGTTGTACCAGAAATTTCTCCCTCACTCTGTCCCATGAAGGGTCTTCATCTGATTCCTGAGGCAAGAAATGGGAAATAAGAAGTCTAAGGCAGCTTTAGGAAGGACTGAGGGCACCTCAAATCTTCCAGATTTGTTTATTTTATTTATTTGTTTGATTTCTATACCACCTGAAATATACTCAGTCGAGAGTGGATTTCATGCTCTTTATTCAGCTCATAGTGGTGAGGAGGAATGAAAGTCCCCTCAAAGTATCTGCTTTATATACATTATTTACACAATGGGCTGCACGTGATTGGCTAATTCCAGAATTCTCCTGTAGGCCAATCAGGTTGTGGATTCACTTCCATCTGGAGCTGGATTGGGTGGCTCCTGCAGACCAATCATACTGCTGCATTGTTCTAGGACCAATCAGACTGCTGTATTCTGAATCCTATTGTTCTAGGACCAATCAGACTGCTGCATTTTGGATCCGATTGTTCTGGGACCAATCAGACTGCTGCATTTTGGATCCTATTCAACTCAGTACATAACACCACCCTTTGTCATAAGATCTCAGGGTGGTTCACAGAATTCAATACAGGATAAAAGCAAGTAAATAGTTAAAAACAAAACAGCAAAACAATAATCACCTCCTTCCTACAGACACATTTAAAAGGCTGTAGAATATTAATTGGCCAAAGGCCTGGTCGATGAGGAACGTTTTCGCCTGCATGTTGTGACGCCAGGCTGTTTTGTGCAAATCAACTCCTTTTTTGCTCGTGAACCTTGATTGGCAGGTTGTTGGGGGGTTTCTTTTGCCACCCATAACATGACAAGCTGCTGGCACAGCCCTGCTTGCCTTACAAAAAATTTTAATGGCTTTTCAGTTGGAATGATTTCCATCCGTGGAAGTAAACGCTGTTTCTAAGCGTTGCCTTTTACTTTTCCAACCCCTTGCCTGCCTGCCTGCTCCGCTCTATCATGAGCTGGGCTTCCCCTGTGTCGTAAACACCAGCACTGATTTGGCGCTGGAGGAAATTGCTGATTAAAAGTCCATTTCCAAGGGCCAAGGGTGCGCTGCTCAGTCAGTCTAGACTCCTAACTTGCCTCAATTAAAAGTTAATTTCTTCACAATGTTAATAGAAGGCCGTAATCCTGTCCATTTTACAACTTGACGTAAATCTGAACTGATGCCTCTACCTCCTGAAGTCATAGCGAGGTCACAGAGATCATTATGCTGGCAGCTGACATTGGCTAATCTTTTAGGCTTTAGTGGGTAATCAGTGGTTAGAATTAAATTTAACAAGAGAGCCTGATGTTGAGGACTTTCCCTCCCCCTTAACTTTTGCCACCATTATCCATAGCACAGCCTTTTATATATTTACAGAAATATATTCTGTGGAATGCTACACTTTGCGTGTCGAGGTCCCCAGGGCCACCCCAATAACTCACACATCACACCAATATTTTTGTTTAAGGTTTTTGGCGTAATTTTGGCCACAACTTTATTAAAATACAAATATGTGAGTGGTTGCTTAGGCACTGGTTGCGACTAGCTGCCCCCACCGTGGGGGACAGTCTGACATTCCGCATGCATGCGAAAGTCAGAAAAGGGGAATACACTTGGGGGTAGCGACGGAGCAGGGAACCTGCCCTCACCCCAAATGCAACCAGGAGCTCATTGCTATGGCCCGAGCCCCCTTGACAGGGTGGACAAGCAATAGTTAGCCCCCGATTCCTTTAACGGAATCCCTTGCAGCAGCAGCATTAGAGGGGCAGGCACAGCCAATCCATGCCCCTCAACCAACCAAGCCATAAACCAATGCCTAACCGTGAACCTTACAAGTTGTGACGATTTGCTATGCAGTAGGCAAAAACCAAATGGCCCCAGCCAATCAGCCAGATGGACAAAATTCCTACGGGGCCCCTGCCCCAAGAGCAGACGACCCCATGACAGGCATAGCAAGGTCAAAGTGAACAACCCTAATTCTAGGGAGGGGGGGACGGACAAACCGATGCACGGGCGAAAAGAGGAAGCCCTAGCCTCGTGCAAGGAGTTTTAGCATTTCTGGCTGTCAATCAACAAATGGCAACATTAACTTCTTCCCAATGACAAGGGAAGCCCAATCGCATCAGTGGCCAATGGTCAATTAGCCCGCCCCACAACTTTGGAGTGTCCTGGTGGCCCCCACCGCAACACGTGCTCTCCATGAAGGAGAACACGCTTTACAGAAATATATTCTGTGGAATGAAACACTTCCCCACAGGAATGAGAGAATGGATGGAGAGAAATCTAAACAAGGGAGAGAAGGAAGCCAATAGGGTTCACAGGCACCTGTTTCCACTGTGTGAAGCCCCATGAGGTTTGGGAATCCAGTGCATGAAACCAGTCTGTTTATTTCTGGGTGGAAGGAGACAAAGGTCCAAGGGTGAAAGGAGCGTAGACATACCAAGATAAAGGACTCAGCTACATTAGTAAAGAAACAGCGATTTGAATGTGCTATAAACATGTAACACCAGGTGGCACCAGAGAGCAGGAAATTTAAAAATGCAGTTTTCCATAGAGATTTTTTTCTTTTGTTAATAATAATAATAATAATAATAATAGTAATAATAATAATGTATTATTTATACCTCATCTGACTGGGCTTCCCCAGCCACTCTGGGCAGCTTCCAACAAAATATTAAAATGCAGTAATCCATCAAACATTAAAAGCTTCCTTACAATGATCTAATTTCTGATTTATTTATAGTGTGGTTCCTCCCCCCATGTTTAGATCCACTGAAGACTGCAACACATAAGGGTCTTGAAACCTTAACTCCAGGTTTCAAAACTTTTGCTATTTATGTGCAAAGTGGGACCTGTGAACCCACAGGCCAAATCCAAGATGAGCCTGAAAAAGAGGGGAGGCTAAATTATTAGGAGAGCTTAATCAGAGGCTTGTTCCTGCCTCCTAGTGGTGCTAGAAGGAAGTGTAGGTAGTTGATTTATAAGGCGAGAAGTGTCATGAGATGTTTCCTCACTGAGTTCTAGTAACTTGGGACCTTAGCCTGGAATTTCCCTCAGCGGGTGGAAATGGAAACATATATCCTGTTCTGCCACAAGTGTACAAAACACAGATAGGCCTAATTTGTTATTACTTGGTGTGATGGAAGGCACTAAAGTCTTTTCATTTTTCAAACTGCATCTGTTTAGCCACCTTAAAGCTTGTTCATTCTTCGGCTTGCAATTTGAATTCCAGCCTTCTGTTATTCTCATTGCTAAAATTAGGCAGCAGTGGATTTAGTCCAGAATTACCATTGGACTTTTATTTCTCAATCTTGCTATAGTGTGGACATCTCCCTTGGGCAGGGCTCTGCGCTTAAAGAGGTAACAAACTATTTTGTTAGGAACCATAGACAATATGTCTGGCTTCTTACATGAATCAAGAAAGGGGAGATTTTAATTGCAGATGTCTTCCAGATGGTGCTAATTTAAACAAAACATGTGCATGGAACAAAAGGACTTTAAAATTTTTTAGAATGAGTGGTTGGTGGTAGTGAGATTTTATGCACTCCTTCAAAAACATCAGCTTTGCTCTGTATGTGTTACGCAGTACTAAAACCGTCTCTTTTCCTTTTCTTACCAAATCGTCGTTATTTATATGCACATTCATTTCTGCAAGGTCTTCAATTCACTGATCACCTTTCCTCGGCTTATTACACATATGAATCTGTACTTCAAATTCTGCTTCCTGGAATGCAAAATGAGGTCCAACAAGCCTGGAGGCAGATGAGCAGTCTGAGGAGTGAAAGGAAGGATTGCTCTGTGTTTATCGGAGTTTATCAAAAAGCAGCAAGCCAGTTCAAAGTTAATCTAATCAGCATGTTATTGAATTAAAGGCTAAACGGGTATTTCAGGGCTTAGCTAGACACGACAGTAGCCTGACCTGTGTCTTAAAATGTGGGTTGCACCGCTGTAAAGCCAGGGAAAGGGGCAATTTAAAATGGAGTGGCCAGCTGCTAAACTCTGGCCTTTCTTCTGGTTGGGTTCATAAAGAAAGTAGGCCACTGGAAAATGGTAGCATTGTGTAATATTTGGGTTTATTTGCAAATACTGTATACAAGCAGAGAATAGAGGCAGATGAAGATAATGGACTTTATGGAGCTGGCTGATCTCACCGGGAGAATCCGCGACCAGAAAGAAGAGGAATAGCAAGAAGAATGGAAGAAATTTAAAGACTATTTGAATAAATATTGTAATATTAAAGATTTGTAACTACTTGAAAGAAGTAATTAGGTTTAGGATTAAATCAGGATTAAATAAATAAATAAGAAATAATACCATAAGAAAAGTTAGGAAATATGATGATGACCGGATTATTGTTATATGAAATAATGATATTGGAAACGGCTATATTCAATTACAAAGAAATTCAGTTGGAAGAGATTAGAGGAAGTTAAGTAATATGTTTATGAAGTTGGATTTTAATTAATTAAGTTTTATTGTATTTATGTAGGTGATGATATTATGTGGGGTTGGAAATATCTTACTTTGTTGGTTTTTTTTTTCCTTTTTCTTCCCACTATTGTTTTTTCTTTTTCTGTTATGTTAAAGTTATGTTTTTATATGAAACTCAATAAATATTATTGTAAAAAAAAGAGAGAGAGAATAGATGGATGCAAGCAGTTTCATCATCATCATCATCATCATCATCATCATTTATTTATACCCTGCCCATAGGCCGGGCCTCCTCAGCTACTCTGGGCAGCTCCAAGCAGAATATTAAAAACATGATAAAACATCAAACATTAAAAACTTCCCTAAACAGGGCTGCCTTCAGATGTCTTCTAAAAGTCAGATAGTTGTTTATTTCCTTGGTATCTGATGGGAGGGCATTCCACAGGGCGGTGCCACTACCAAGAAGGCCCTCTGCCTAGATCCCTGTAACTTCACTTCTCGCAGTGAGGGAACCAGCAGAAGGCCCACAGTCCTGGACCTCATCGTCCGGCCTGAATGATGAAGGTAGAGACGCTCCTTCAGGTATACTGGGCCGAGGCCATTTAGGGCTTTCAAGGTCAGCACCAACACTTTGAATTGTGCTGGGAAACGTACTGGGAGCCACTGTAGGTCTTTCAGGACTGGTGTTATATGGTCTCAGCAGCCACTCCCAGCCACCAGTCTAGCTGCCATATTCTGGATTAGTTGTAGTTTCCGGGTCACCTTTAAAGGTAGCCCTGCATAGAGTGCATTGCAATAGTCCAAGCGGTAGATAACCAGGGCATGCACTACTCTGGCGAGACAGGCTGCAGGCGGGTAGGGTCTCAGCCTGTGTACCAGATGGAGCTGGTACACAGCTGCCCTGGACACAGAATTGACCTGCGCCTCCATGGACAGCTGTGAGCATACTCGTAATACCAACAGAATCCATTGCCTCACATCAGATTTCCAGAGAAGCACCCCAACCTGCAAATGTCTTTCACTTTCCAAAGTTCAAACCTTATGTTGTAGATGAAACAAGAAAGAGGCTGGCAAAAGGCAGACAGTTGCAGTGATTTTCTGGTGTAATGTAATACTTATATTTTCAGCTAGTGAAGTTGGTGCTAAAGCATTAGTCCTGATAGAAGGGGAATGTTGGCAAAACCACCACCATATCAAGATGGAAAGAGCACAGCTTCTTTCTGCAGGTGGAGTTAATTTTATTATTGTGATTTTTCACTAACAGATTAAACATCTATCCCAAGACAGATACATACACTTAAATGTTTATTAAAATTCATCAGGCTGATGAATTTTCATGATGATTAAGAAAGAATGAAATTGCAGACTGCTACAAGATGTGGAGAGAATTCAACACTGAGGAAATTAGAGGCCAAAAGAACAGTAGTGGAGAGATTCTTCCATCCCCATTAGCAGGGCTGCGAAGGACCTTTGTCTGTAAGAGAGGCTTCAAGATTTTCCCTGCCAGTCACAGAGTACTAGGTTAAATAGATTTGACTGAAAAGAAAGCTTCATGTGCAGTTCTGGAGTTTGAGATCAAAAACAGTTTTATTCCAAAACACTCCAGGGATCCTGTCTGATCCCTGTGAGCGCTGCTATGGGAACTCATAGTACATTCCTTATGCGTTGTGAATTATACAATTCAAAAGTGTAATGAAGAAATATATATAATATATATATATTAAAAATAATGGAGAGAGGGAGTTTTTTTAGCAATCCCATAGGGATTCCTAGTTAGGGAAGTCCCATAATTTTACAACAGCCCCATGACTATATTTCAACACACCCTTTGCTTTTCAAACATGGAACTCAGTTGGGCTTTGAGGTATTTCAAAATGTGGTGGGAAGGTTTATAGGAGACAAGAGTTTCACATTTTTAAAGCCTCTTAGCTATGTGTTTGTGTTGGCTTAAAATGCAGTGTTACATTTTACAGTGGCAATATCTGCTCGGTTTTATGGTACGTTACAAAGGCAGAGTTAACCACGATAAATCTAGATAAGGCTATAAAATTCAATGTGACTGTAACTTAAAGACATGGAATGGGAGGAAGCATAACATTTGACACATGGGCTCTTCCTAATGCATGTTTGCACTGGGAACTGAGTATGAGCAGTCAGAGAATACTCTGCTCATATGCAATGGTGATTCATTCTAGTACTGACGTGTTCCTGTGATGTTGTTGCCAGTCAGACTAGCTTTGGACAGAACATCCCCATCTTGGCTGGGGATGATGCGCGCCGCAGTTCAACTACAGCCTCAGGTGTGCTCTCTAAAAAATGGTTTGCAGGTATAGAAATTGAGAAGCAGGAAAGGGACCCAAACAAGCCATTGTTTACTGCAACCTGCATTGCTGTGTTCCTGGCTAAGATGGACCACCTGCCTGCACTGTTCCAGGTGGTCCAGCCACCAGGAACAGAGACATCACCACCACCACCACCACCATCATCATCATATTTATATCCCGCCCATCTGGCTGGGTTTCCCCAGCCACCCTGCCTGGCTCCCAACAGAATATTAAAAACACAATAAAACATCAAACATTATAAACTTCCCTAAACAGGGCTGCCTTCAGATGTCTTCTAAAAGTCAGGTGTTAATTTCTTCGACATCTGATGGGAGGATGTTCCACAGGGTGGGTGCCACTACTGAGAAGGCCCTCTGTTTGGTTCCCTGTAACCTCACTTCTTGCAGTGAGGGAACTGCCAGAATGCCCTCGAAGCTGGACTTCAGTGTTTGGGCTGAACGATGGGGGTGGAGACGCTCCTTCACGTATACTGACAAGACCCTCCTCCCAGCCTCATTGATGTGCTCCAAAGGAAAGCCAAGCAATACATTTGGCACCAGTTTCTGCAGGAGTTGCCAGAAGGAGGCGTACAAGGTGCTATCCAACTGTCTTCGGGACTCTTGATTTGTGTGGATTTACTTCTTAGCCTTTCCTTCTCCTAAGATATTCTTGCAAGGCAGTGGAGGGTTAGGGTCAGAGTTTTCCTTCTCCTTGATGGAAGACCTTTGCAGGTTGGTGAGCCTCATCTGCCTCTCACTTCTCTCTACGGCACATGCAGAAACCACCTCCTTCACCGTTGGACCCACTATTAGTCTCATCTGCACAATCCGTCAGAGCCCGTTTTTGCAGGCAAGGGAAGTCCCTTACTCACTACGGGTTTGCTTGAGACCCATCAGCTACACTCAGCTGGTTTAACTGGCAGGTTAAAGCCATTCCCAGGGTGTGGCTACTGTCGCATGCTGACAGCTTAACTGGGAGCCACAGGTGAAAGCTGAGTGCAGGGTGGGGGACCAAAGATGGACAAATGACCCCAGAAGGAGCATGACATGTCCCCCACCAGAGGAACTACCTCTCCTCAAAAGATTCCATCAACGGTGTCTCCAAAAAATTTTACACATCACTTGGGAAAACAGGCGAACTAATGCAAAGTTCACCAGTGTCAAAGCGATGGTTCTTCATATAAAATCTTATAAATTAAGTGTTGATTACTAGAAAGAAAAGAAAAGGTGACAGCCAGTGTGATGTAGTGGTTAAGAGTAGTGGACTCGTAATCTGGTGAATCAGGTTCGATTCCCCGCCCATTCACATGCAGCTGCTGGGTGACCTTGGGCTAGTCACACTTCTCTGAAGTCTCTCAGCCTCATTCACCTCACAGAGTGTTTGTTGTGGGGGAGGAAGGGAAAAGGAGATTGTTAGCTGCTTTGAGACTCCTTAGGGTAGTGATAAAGCGGGATATCAAATCCAAACTCCTCCTCTTCTTCTTCTTCAACATCAACTTTGTTGGGTTGGTCATGTTGTGTGGATGCCTGATTATCGTCTTCCAAAGCAACTACTGTATTCTGAACTTAAAAATGGAAAGCGTAATGCTGGTAGTCAACAAATGAGGTTTAAAGACTCTCTCAAGGCAAATCTAAAAAAATGTAGTATAAACACCAACAACTGGGAAACACTGGCCTGCAAGCACTCCAATTTGGAGAACAGTGTTTACCAAAGGTGTCATGGGCTTTGAAGACGCTCGAACTCAGGACAAAAGGGAGAAACGCGCTAAGAGGAAGGCACATTTGGCAAACCCTCACCACGATCAACTCTCATCTGGAAACCTATGTCCCCACTGTGGAAGGGCATGTGGATCCACAATTGGCCTCCACAGTCACTTACGGACTCACTGTTAGAACCGTGTTTATGGAAGAGGATAATCCACAGAAGATAATCCACACGCACATTTTAACAGGGCTCAGTTTATATGAAGTCATTAGGAAACTACGGAAGCAACCTGATTGCGGGCAACAGCTGTCAGATTTATGTAGACACAGCTGTACGTCTCTTCGAACTGAACGAGCACATAATTGTTCTTGCAAGATAAACCAGATTATCTTTAAGTGAGGAGAAAGCTGTTAAGCGAATGATATATAAATGGATGTGAATCATTTGGCAGCCGCCAAGATGAACACCTGACATACCCTCTAGGCTGTGGTGTAGCTAATAGCTAAATATGCTTCTGCTATGAACATTGATATCTAGGAGATGCTTCCTACCGCCTTCCCCTTGCCCCCGAGTTGAATCAAATAGCATTTGAAGCATGGATTTGTTATTCAGACACTATGTACACACCATACATTTAAAGCATACGCTCCCACAAAGAATTTTGGGAACTGTAGTCTACCCCTAACAAAGCTACAATTCTTAGCACCCTTAATGTATGGTTACCAGATTTTTTCCAATAAATCTGGGGACCCCCCATTTTTTTTTTTTTGAAGCTGAGTAGCAACAGGGAGTCAGTAGTGGGGATGGTGAGGCAAAAGACCCTGGGCCCAAGCACACATGCATATTGTATAAAGGTGCAAAGCCCCTCTTTCGTACCCTGTGAAACATAAATATGCAGTTTTTAAAAAACTGGGCAAGGGTGTGCTGCCTGCCTATGACTCCCATGGCTTTCCTGATCTCCTACCCCTTTCCCCCTTTGTTTTGACAGATCGGGGGAGGCTTGGGAGTCGCGGGCAGGCGGCCGTTGCCCAGTTTTTTTAAAACTCTGAGCATTTATGTTTCGCAGGGTGCGAAAGAAGGGCTTTGCACCTTGCCTGGCAGAGAAACCGTGTGCCTTGCACCCCTCCTGGGCAATGGACGCCCGCCCGCAACGCCTGAGCCTCCCCTGATCTTTCAAAACAAAGGGGGAAGGGGGCAGGAGATCTGTCCCACTGGACGTCCCCAGTTCACCTTCGGCAGTGGCGATGGCAGCGAGCAGCTCCTGAAGCCAGCCAGAGCCAACTGCGCTACCAGGCTGGCTCCAGGCTGCTGAGGCTCCCACTGCCACGTTTCCTGGGGACAGATTTGCAAATCTGGGGACATTCCGGGGACGGAATTTGTCCGGGGACAGATTTGCAAATCCAGGGACTGTCTCCGGGAACCAGGGACGTCTGGCAACCCTACCTTAATGTCCTGATCCCCTGGCCTACCTAGCAGACAGACAGTGTGCCAAGACAAAAGTTCCAAGTCCAGAAGCCAATCCACACAAGCTAAGTCCAAAAATAAGGAAACGCAGTACGGGGTCAGTCCAGGTAAGCCAAGATAGGAGTTCAGCAGTCAGGGTACGGTCCAGAGTCAGTCTCAAAGTAGAAACCCATGAAGGTCCAAGGAGAATCCCAGGTGAGGTCCCTCAACATGGGCAGTTGGTCAGACACAGCACTTCAGCTCTGCTTCCTTCATACACTAGGACTGCCATATGGCCGGGTTTTCCCATCCGGGAGTCGGGCTGTCAAAATGGCGTCTGGGCAGAATTTTGCCGAATTGGCAAAATGACTGGGGAAGCCCAAACTTATGGCAACTTGGCCATTATTTTTTTAAAGAAAAATGCTATAAAAATCCAAAAGAAGCCCAAAGACTTATGTTTTTGGGGGGAGATGTTCAACAACTTTGACCCCCCCCCCCAAAAAAGGTCAACCAGAGAAAAATGGCAGATGAAGTTAATGGAGTATGCTGAAATGGCTAAAATGACGGGAAGAGTCAGAAATCAGGAAGACCAAAATTTTAATAAGAAATGGGGAAAATGTATAACTTATCTTCAGACCATTGTAAACAGCTAAACTCGTTAGTAGGATTGGAATATCACTTGCAGTTAGAGGTTGAATTCTGGACATAATGGAAGAGGCAAAGGATTTGGAGCATCATAAAAGATTCGGGAGGAAATGATTCATAATAGGACCCACAAAGGGGAGGATGGAAGTCCAGGAGATTCCTTGGAATCTTGTTTTTATGATTTGTGTTTGATTTTTCAACTTGAGGCAAGTTGAAAAACCAAATAAATGGTTAAAAAAAAAAGGTTAAAAAGGTCAACAACCTTGTCTGGGAATATGGCAACCCTATACTGTGTCTGCTGATTGCAGCATCTGTACTTGATGTGTCCTGAGACCCTCACATGCTCTCAGCTTGCACCAGCTGATGAATCACCTGCCTCCTTGCTCACCTGGCCAGCTAGTGATCTAGGCTGCAGGCCCTCTGCTTCCTGGAGTGCCCTGTCCA